GACGATCGCTTGTGTTGTGATCGAAACGTCGTAGTTTTTTTTACCTATTTACGTGACTTTAACGAAAGACCCAAAGAATATGAATTCCTGCAGTCACGAAAGCTTTAAGTCAAGATTTCAGTAAGGTCCACTGAGCGATGGAGCTCTTTTTCAGAAGTGGCCTGGCCACAAATGATAGCTCAACAAGGTGGCCCATCGCGTGGAAATGTATAGCAGCCAAATACGCCGAAATGCACGTAAATAAAAGTGGAGGAAAAAAGGTCCAAGAGACAAATCCACGCGGCCACGGGGAGAGAGAGACACGCAAACTCCAAATATACAGCAGCAGGCGTCAGGGTCGGGATCGAACCCACGACCTCCACTGTGCCACCCCACTAATACACGCTGGATGTATTTGCGCAATGAACTCATTGTTCAGATCCAACCAGGCACTTGCTTGCTTCAGATCTTTCTTTTTTGCAAGGACTTGAAATGTTGCGAGCAGAAAACGGTGTAACGCGTCGTAATGTATCACTGTAATAACAATTATATAATAAAAACGTGAAAAATTAAGTGTTCCAAAATCTGGAAGGGGGTTTGGAAAGCACTTATAATGGTGTTGCTTGGATTCTTATAAACAACATGGGAGTTATTTTAATACAGCCGAAAGAGCGAACACAAAAATGTGACAAAGAGATGAGGATTACATAAACTTTAGTAACAATAAACAGGCTCCTTTGCAAGGAGGGGGGATAAAAAAGAAAACAGATGATAAAGTAAAAATATGCAGGATTAACTTTTCAGCCAATACATATTAATCGGTGTTTGTATGTGACCGGAGTGGTAGTGTTCAAGTATCGCTTACAGTGTACTTGACAACGCGTAACTTTAGGGTCGGAATTTCCTCAGATTATTTTGTACTTGCTGTGCGGGTAATTAAACAGTACGACTGCTTGGCACGTGGTCTTGAGCCCAATGCTTGTGTCACCAATATCCCAAACTGGCACCTGATTGCCGATCCCACACACACACAAAAAAAACTTTTGGAACTTAATCTCGACCTCCAAAACAATGGTCCACTTTAAATCGAATCCAAACTACAAATGGCAGATCCAAAACCATGTCCTCACACGTAGAAAAACTAGATCTTAGTATTTTTGTTTCTTTCGTTAAAGTCACGTAGAAGGGAAATAATAAAATAATAAAAATCGAAACCAATAAAAACATGTTCTATTGTTTTATATTTTTATTAGAAAAAAATCTATTTGTATTATTTTATTATTTCCCTTCTACGTGACTTTACCGAAAGAACCAAGAATATGAATCCCTGCAGTCACGAAAGCTTTAAATCAAAATGTAGATCTTAGTACTTAGCACGGCAGGGCTGACATTGGGGGGTGGGTGGCCAACACCCCATGCCTGCCTTTGTCACCCCAGTGGCGATGTTTTCACACCGCACCAGGTACTCATTTGAGACTAGTCGACCTCGAGGAGGCCCAGGACCGGTTCAGATAATCGTCACCGGCGTGGGCCGTAAGGGTTGCCGGGTTCGTAGCACAGAAAGCTAACCGCGACACTACCACTCCCCACACATACACACAATTAATCAGATATTTACATTCTGCCTTGCTGCAGCGATTATACCACGTAATCAGAAAATAATTTGCGAGCAGATATAAAAAAAAAAGGAATTGATAAAGGCTCGGGAGCTTTACACAAGTCCCGCTCGAAAATTGGAGCTGTATAGTTTAAAATTAGCTGGTGAGACAAATGTAAGCTAAGGCCATAACAAACTTTACGAGATCCAAGCTTAGGAACTTTTGAACACTGAGGAAAATGGCTACGAGGTGGTCATACGTGGGTGGGCTCCAGGGTTGCGATTTCCGCATGGAAAATGCGGAAGGAGGGTTCAAATTTTCCCGCATTTTTGCTAAAGTCAACCGCAAACGGTGGAAAGACTACTCCTATGACCGCGCGCTTTTAACAACACGGTAATGCGTTCTATTGGAAAGGATACATGCAAGGCCCAGCATCACGTAGGGCTTTGAGTTACTGATTGGAATGAATATATGATTTCCGCATTTCCGCACAAGAACCACATACTTTATTCAAAAGCGGAGCCGTGATTACGAGCACATGTACATGATGTATCCTTTCCAATAGAACGCATTAACGTGTTGTTAAAAGCGCGCGGTCATAGGAGTAGTCTTTCCACCGTTTGCGGTTGACTTTAGCAAAAATGCGGGAAAATTTGAACCCTCCTTCCGCATTTTCCATGCGGAAATCGCAACCCTGGTGGGCTCATCCCCAATAAGTACTAGTTGAATGTAGACATAATGCAAGTGAAACGCATTTGGTAAGTTCCCCCGAATTCGGGGCACTGGATTGGCGTTCTAATGTCAACGGTAAGAGCATGTCGGTGACCACTGTAGCAATAATCAAAGGAGGCCTGGAATGCGATTGTGGAAACGTCGACCAGACCGTCGAGCAAGATACCACCGAACCACTGCGAAACATAACAATTTTACAGAGGCATTGAACAAAATCCACTGCACAGCAACGGAAGACATTTTCTGGCAAATCTGGACATCGACTTATTCATAAGTTGCCATTCCTATAGACATATTTCAAGAGAGACACATCTGCGACATTCGACTGCTCAAGATTAGGGTGCCACGGTGGTGAAATGTTAACTACCTCACCTGGAATACAGGAAGTCGTGGGTTCAAATCCTACCTTGACGCCTGTATATTTAGAGTTTGCATATTCTCTCTCTACCCCTGGTTGCGTATATTTTTTATCTGGGTCCTCCGGTTTTTCCCTCGACATGCGTTTTCAGAGTATTTGGCTCCCGCTATAAATTTCTACGCGATAAGCCACTTTGTTGAGCAATCATGTGTGGCCAGGTCGCTTCTGAAAAAGAGCTACATCGCTCAGTAGTGGACCATACTGAAATCTTGACTTAAAAGCTTTCGTAACTGCAGGAATTCATATTCTTTGGGTCTTTCGGTAAAGTCACGTAGATAGGTTAAAAAAAAATAACGAAAAACTCCGACGTTTCGATCACAACACAAGCGATCGTCATCAGGAGGAAAGAAAAAGTAAATGATTTAATGATGAACAAGGGGCTAAGCAGTCTCCCTCAGCAGCTTTCGCCCTCTTTTTTCCTCCTGATGACGATCGCTTGTGTTGCGATCGAAACGTCCGAGTTTTTCGTTATTTTCTTTGAACCTATCTACGTGACTTTACCGAAACACCCAAAGAATATGGACCTCACTTTCTAAAATAATGATGACAATTAGAAAATTTAAAAATATCCTGCCATCAATACCCGATCAACCTGAGAATGGAGTTGTCACCTCGCGCCCTGGTGACGTCAAATCTCCATCGCGCTGTGGGGCGAGCCCATGCACGCCCTCCGTGCCGAGTCGACGAATTCGAGTGAACGCGTAAGATGCAGGCACACGGAGCGAAGCAGTGGTGCACAGTGATTAGCGTGCTAGACTGCGAACCCATCAACCTTGATCATTCGATTCCTGGCCACAGCTGACATCACAGTGTGAGTGACGTGGGATATCAGAGCCCGTGCTGCCCTGCATACCCCCCCGCCTTCACCAGCCCGCACTGACAAGCGTGAAGTATGATGTCTTCATCCGTGGGTAGGTTTAGAATGGGTGGAATAGATGTAATTCTTTATTAAGCGGCCATACAAATAGCATAAAAACACCCACCACCTGCCTCGCCTGAAGGCTTCCAGAAATCACACTTCAACATCTTTCGAAATTGCTTTGACAGAGAGCTATTGTGGTACCAAGTTGACAAAATGCACGCACGCGCAACACACACATGCACACACATAACCACAAATACCCCTGAAGAGTCAACGTCTCTGTGATGATTGCATCAATAGTCTTAAGTACACAAACCAGTGTGCTGTAAGCAGAGACCGACAGACTTTTTGCAATTTAGGCAAAGTGTACGGAGCCACGTTGCGGTCGTGCTGTGCGTTTCGCGCGTCGCCGCTGAGTATTCCCGAATTCGTCGGAAGCTTCCAGTTCCCAAATGAGGCTCCCTGCACGTGGAGCGAAACGTCGGACGCCGTGCCGACACAACGCGTGGGGCAACATGGGAGTGGGTTACAAGAGTGTGAAACATGGGGCCGAGGCGGAGCAGGATGGAAAGTGTGCACAGTGGACGTTTTCAAAGGATACATTCTCCATGCCCCATGCAAGTCTGCGCATGTAGGCATGTGTGTGTGTGTAAAATAAGGGTCTATAGGTGCACAGATTCGTCGATAATTATCGATTATTGACCTCGAGCAGCGTGCAACAAATCGCGCGCGCAAGAAACTGTCGTTTTTTTCTGCATGTTACGCACAACAGGCTCACAAAACGTCGCTCAATCACAATGTTTGCAGTGTAGTTTATAGTGTAGTACGTATGTGTGTATGTTGAACTTGCTTAGCGCCGTACGTAGACTACAATGCAAATCGGAGCTTCGGGGGAGGGACAACAAACGAAACACAAAAAGCAGTTCTCAAGAATTGAGTTTTCCCATCTAGCTTAAAAAGTGCATCTCTCAAGTGACTTCCTAATATCAGAAGAGCGTTCCAGACGGCCGCAGAAGCGCATCTGAAAGCGCGCGACGTGGTGACCCTTTTTGTTCGATAGCCAGCCCAAAGGATGACCGAAGTTCACGTGGTAATGGTTTACGCTCCCTGACGAAATGAGCAACGAGTAGGCGTCACATTCACCGCAACGTAAACAAAACGTTTCATCGATTCACGAGTCGAGTCGTGGCCCTGAATTGAGAACATTTACGGAATAGCCGGACTTGGGGATGGGTGAATAGATACACATCGAACACCCAACATCCTTGCCCATGCCACACAGCTGGAACGCTCAACAGAACTGCCCCATGCGATACACTTCTCGCGTGCAACAAATGTATCTTGGAACTTCTCTCGCACCGCACGTAAGCCAACCATGCGGGAGCCATCTGGCGCACGCGTGAGAGCAAACCTTGATGACGGAGGGCATCTTGCCGCTGAGGCTCTCGTAGGTGAAGTGCAGGCGGGTGCGGAAGGAGCACTTGTAGATCAGTGGGTCCTGGTAGAGCTCGATCTTTCCGCTGGCGCTGCGCTTGTCCAGGCACACCGTGCAGTCCGAGAAATTGATCACTTTACGAAGAACCAACTCGGGGGCTGCAAATCCAGAATCAGAGCGATGCGTCAGACGGGCATTAGATTGTTTGGTTGTGTGATATATGTACGCAAGTAGTGACGTGGTTTGGAGAGGTCTTCGTCCGGTATTGGATTGATTAATGGCTGTATACAGTTAAGAATCTAAGATGATTTTTCCAAGGGAAACCTGGATTGTAGAACACAATTTGGATGCACATAGTGCCTCAAGGCGACAGCATCTCCAGATGCCGTACAGAAAATGGTGAACATATTCATTTTGTGGACAGGAAGAGGCAGTCAGTCATTGGCAGAGGACAAATCCAAGTCGTAAGCCTGGACTTGAACAGGTGCAGGAAGCTGAAAGCATGGATGGCCAGGGGAAGCAGATTCCAGATGATTGAGGCAGCAGCAGAGAATAAGAGACCTTCCACTGAGCGACGATTGACTACTGGCTAAGACTGGCTCATCATCATTCGACAATACAAATGTGATAAACGGGCAAAAACAACGGTATACAGGGTCGTAATTTTAATCGATATAGGACATATGTCTTGAGGCAACATCAAATATAGTTTTCCAAAAGCACTCCACCGTGCTTCTGTTTGCGTCCAATTCATCGTGTCGGATTGCCTACTGGTTTCTAAACAATTCTGTCGGGGAAAAGCGGACACATCTCTCCCGCGGATGACGGGGACTGGCCTGAACATCTCCAGGGAAGGAAAGAACGTCAGGGAGAAAGGAAGTAGGAGGAGGGCCGCCATTTTCTACTCTGTGAACACAAGTAATTCTAGATTTGAAGCTTTCGTGACTGCAATGATTCATATTCTTAGGGTTTTTTTTTACTTTACCGAAAAAACCTAAGAATATGAACACAAGTAATTCTAATCATGTAGCCGAGGCCATGCCTATACTATTTTAATACACAGTGTAGGAGTATAAAAGCCTGTATTATGTACTTATTTATGAAACACACATTTCATGGAAATAGAAATTGCCCAATCATACTTATTCCAGTCATCACTTGTCCAGTTTGAGCCTGAACCTGATGTTTTGACTGAGGGTAGTGAAACGATGTCGGGGAAACAAAAAACGGGCCCTTTCTAGACCCCTTTCTTAATTTAGGATTATTTTGTGGACTAAATAAACACCCGTGTATATAGCAATTATCGTCATCAAAACCAGTGGAAGCATTAAAATGCCTACCTTGGTCCTCAATGAGGGGGCCACAAAAGCCTGGCTTCACTACTCGCAAAACTTATTAAATCTCCGTAATCTGACATCACCACAATAATCAAAGGATTTAAGGCTTACACAGCCAGCCCCACGGCCAAGCAAAGTTCTATCAAGCTTGAGCACCACTTCTGAGGAAAAATCACTTAATCCTGACAAGGCTGAAAATGCAGACCGCCAGTTTCTCCTGGACTTGTGAAGGGGTCTACTCAGGTGGGCAGCTTCCATGAGGATTAAGTTTGTCCAACAGTAAAACTCTCTTGCCATTCTGAATTGGTTGTAATCACGCTGACGGGACATTCCTCCTGCACAGTGCAGCATTCACGGGCTCTGTGTGCACGCGCGAGCGCCAGGTTGAAGTCATCAGCAGGGTCCCCGTTTTTATGAAAAAATAACTAAATATTACTCGCAATTCAAAACATCCATTTCATAAATACGCTCTCTGCTCAATACTCGGTATGAGTATGCGGCAATTAAGCGTGCACAAAAAACACGGTCTTAATTAATTAGTTGACATTATGCTGCGAGGTTAGTGAAGCTTACATTGACCTCCTTGCGCAAACAATTTTAGCGACATTTATTTCAATGCAAGATTAACATTTTAAGAGTTTAATTTTTTTCGTGTAAAGTATACTTCGAATATTAATAATAATAAACGTTTGCCGATGCAGGATCTCGGCCACAACGCAACCTCCCGTGCATATTGGAACACTTAAATAAGTCCACGGGGAGCACGAAAGCAGAGAGATTACTCGAGTTTTCTAACTTTCCATTACAGAATCAAACAGCTCGTAATACCACAGGTTTCTCAGGTTACCCCCACAACACAAGTGCCATTATCCACGGCGCTGTTCGAGGGAATATAATAGCTTCCAAAAGGTGGGCAAAACTAAGGCCGATCAGGCTACTGGTAGGCAAGCGCTGACTATTAAGGGCACTTACAGGAGGTAAATAAGCATGTTATGGCTACAATGAAGTGTTCTCCGAAGCACACGCGTTCAATTTAGATGTGTGCGCAAGCGCGCCGGGGAACGGGTTCCAGAAATCAAACTGAACACGAATCCTTGCTCGACCCGATGAATACGCTCTTAAGAGCCTCGGGGCCTGCACGGCATTTCCACTTGCTGAACGAGAGGCTCACAGGCCACCCTACCTGCCCGTTGCACAGTGCAAACAGTGTGCGAAAGGGGCCTTTTGGAAATGGGGGGGGGGGGGGGGGAAATGAAAAAAAAAAGCAGCGAATTGGGAACAGGACTGTCATTATTGAGCGGCGATGACTACCTGGCCACGTGTCTAAATTAAGTTTTCTGAGGGCGGGTGATTGGCGATCGGGTTCCTCCTCTGGATTACCCTAATGGGACCTTGCGAGCCGGCAAGCGAGAGAGCGAAGAGAGCGAGCGAGCGAGCGAGCAGGTGATTGAGCGAGCATCAATGCCCGTAGCCCGTCGTTGGGAGGGTCGGTCGCCTCTGTCGGTTGCGCGATCACTAATTGCCGCTGCTCCAACTGAGAGGGAGGAAACGGGCGGCTCACCGTGCGGCACGGATCAGCGGGCGACACGCAAAATTACACGTGGCACGAAGGCCGCGGCAACGCAACAGAGTGCCGTGTCTCTCTCAGCCTGGAGCTGGGCCAGGTAATTAGGTTAATTATTTTAATATGATTTTACCAAAAATTGCTTTACGTTAACAATGCAGCCCCGCATAAAAAAGAATTAGCTAATGCCCAAGTTAATCTGTTGGACAAGCAAAAAAATTTCCACCTCACTTGAAATGCAGAGATTATGAGTCTCAAAATGTGCATGTTTTTGCCGCAATAGGATACATAGAAATAGCTGTAATTGCAATCAAGTTGTCTGCAATTGGATTACATGTAAAATATTCGCTCCTGTGGAATAATATTTGAGTTATAAATTGCTTCATTCCAAATTATACATTATATAATATTGGCAGCAGCGTCTACAATTTTAGCTTTTGACTGTACCATGACAGTCCAATGCTATGGAACATATTTTAATAATATCAATTACTCATTTAAAACTGGTAAGTATAAGCACAGCATTTGTTCAGATACACGTAAACATAATACTGAGCATATATATCTTTATTTCGCTATAATTTTAGACTGAAAGGGAAAATGTCTTTTTTTTAATTCGTCAATATTTTAAGAGTTTAACACGTAGGCTTTCGCGACCAATATCATCCATGATACAGGTTTTCAGATCGTAAATGTTATGGATTTGCTTTCCAACACACCGGTGTGCTGTATTAGTAACAAATTGGCATGTTCTGTTTACGTGACAAACCTTACTAATTGGCTGTGTCGGGTGGTGGCGGGTTTAACAACACATTTATAGTAACGCGATCTAACCCCAAAAAAAACTGTATTGTGGATATTTTCACAAACGTCAATGTGCATTTGCGCATTGGCATTCTATCAAAACGTTGTAAAAAAAAAATTAAAGCGACAAACATTACAAAATATGGGGGGGGGCAGACTTAGGCCGACTGATGCAATCACCCCACCCCATCCTCTTGTTTGTGTTTTCCGTCGGTGTCTCGAACGCTCCAAAACACGCTTTGGGCAAGGCAGGTTGCATCCATCACAACGAGGGGCACAGATTCCGTGCGCTGCCAGGCCAGTGCCCGCGCTCACAGCAAGCTCGACATTCCGTGTCATTTTAATAAAATCTACGCTACCGGTACCGTCAAAACCGTATCGCGAACATGAACCACGGGTTAATCACACAACAGTGTTCTTTCACACACGCGTGTTTGAAACTGCCAGCTCACTTTAAGTACTAAATTTCAGCAGACTCTAAGTCATGTTTACTTTACTTATATTCTGACATACACACATGTGCGTGCGTGCGTGCGTGTGTCTATATATATGTGGGGAGCGGTAGTGTAGCGGTAGTGTCGTAGTTAGAACGCTGCGCTACTCGCTCGGTGACCCAAGTTCGATTCCCGCTCACAGCCAACAGCAGTGATGATTATCTGAACCGGGTCTGGGCCTCCTCTAAGTCAACTCAGCCTCATATGAGTACCTGGAGTGGTGTGAAAAACATCGCCACTAGGGAGACAAAGGCGGCCGGGCCGTGCGTGGTGTTGGCCACCCATCCCCTCGTGGGCCATGCCGGCCTTCAAAGGCGCTCGCTAACAGCACTTGCCCCAACAGTATGTTAAGGCTATATGGGGGATCTTTGTCTCTTTATATGTATGCATTCTCCCTAAAGTATTTACGTAAATACGAACACTGCAGAATTCATGCTACAGTAAAGATATCCACATTTCGAGATATTTTAGTTCATTCCTCAAAATTTACAACGACAATTTCACTTCCAATTAACGTTTTCATCTCTGCTTCAGTTCACATGGTTTAAAAAAAAAAAAAGCTCCTTTCCTGCTCAAAACTATCCGAGTGCGGGGCTCAAATTGTATTTGTGGTCCTCAGGCCGTGGTGGAAATCCCGCATCCCTTCGACGAGGGAATACCGATCGATAAGCAGGATTTAAACTAGCAAAAGTACGACGGCAATCGTGACACTGGAACCAATGCTCTGTCCGCTGCACGACACAAATGGCTGCTTGAAAACATGCGCCCCTTGTTAGCTTCCACCAGCGTGTCAACTATTCCCAGGGAAGTGACTTGTAGCAGGCGCTGAACTTGTTCCTTGGTGGTGCAGGCATTGGCAAGGGTGGACAAACAGCAGGTGGAACGTGTTAGTAAATGAGCCAGCAACGCCGGTGCGACTATTTAAATTCTCCCAAGTCAAGGCTCTTGATTTAATTTGCTTTCCTTGTTTGCCAGAAAACGCATTGCAAGTTGCAATGACACCGAGAAAGAAAAACACCAATTAGCCAACGGGCCCCTCTTTTGGAATTCTGTCAAGGCAGCAGTCAGAAACAAGTAAATAAATAAATACTTTTAAAATGTTTATGGACACCCAGGGCAGCAATCTGCCAACTTCCCACAGTGCCACAGAGGTCATCCGCTGCTCAGCGGTCTCGGAGGAGTCTCAGAGTGATAGTGTTTCAAGCAGTAGGAGAGCAGAGGGTAAAGGGGACCTCTCTTCACCAGCAGAGGTGTTTCCACTTCTGTTCAATACATCGGGCTCCGACCCCCCCACGGGTCAATTCGTTTAGCGTTCGCCCAAATGTGTCAGCGCGAGCTTGCCGGTCGTCGATTAGCGCAGTGCTGTTGGCCAAATGCAGCTGTTCGTTGAGGATTCATTGCACGGAGGTTAGCACTGCACTGCGCCGTTTAACACGGAGGCTTTCGCGACCGATATTTTTCATAATAAAAGTTTTTGGGTTATATCGCGTAAGTATAAATGCGTCGTATCCCCTCCACTACCCGACACAGCCAGTAAGTTTCAATTTAAAGCTTTCGTGACTGCAGGGATTCATCTTCTTGGTTCTTTCGGTAAAGTCACGTAGAATGGAAATAATAAAATAATAAAAAGAATTCTCATGACGTTTCGGCCACAACGCAAGCAGCCGTCCTCAGGTGGAGAATAGGTCTGTCGAGAAGACAGTCTGAACAGAGTCTGAATGTCTTCTCGACAGACCTGTTCTCCACCTGACGGCTGCTTGCGTTGTGGCCGAAACGTCGTGAGAATTAATTAATAATGTTTTATTTTTATTATTTTATTATTTCCATTCTACGTGACTTTACCGAAAGAACCAAGAAGATGCAGCCAGTAAGGTTTGTCACGTAAACAACGCGCCAATTAGTTTACTACTTTCAGCCCACCGGTGAGTTGGAGAGAACATCCACAACATTGCGCTGTGAACTCAGCTGCCCGACTTCAACTCCCGTCGATGACGAACTCAAGTGCCGAGTGATATCCGGGGTGCTCTTTGGGCCTCCCCCAGCCCGCCGTTGCCAACCCGCACTGACCAGCGTGTTGAAGTAAGGTCAAACAGCAAGAGAGTCAGTCAGTCATAATAGGAAGAGGAGAAGAGGGAGGGAGGTCTTGTGCTTTGGACTTGAACAGGGGGCAGAGAGTTGACAGCAGGGACGGCTGGGGGGGGAGGGCAGTGCCAGACTATGGGGGCAGCCGAAAAGAGAATGAGGTGCTGCCGTGGCGAGATGTTAATTCCCTCGCCTGGTATGGAGGAGCTTGTGCGTTCGATCCTGACCCTGACGCCTGCTCTATATTTGGAGTTTGCATGTTCTCCCTGTGGTTGCGTGGATTTTTTTTCCGGGTCCTCCGGTTTTTCCCCTCCCCATTTAGAAACACGTGTTTAGAGTGTTTGTTTGCACGTGATAAGTCATATTTGGTGAGTTATCATTTGTTTGCCAGGCCACTTCTGAAAAAGAAGCTAATAGCTCAGTGGGCTTCACCTGGTTAAATTAAAAGTTTAGTTTTAGTAAAATTTATTTCACCGATTTGCTTACCTTTTCGTATATTTTGCACTTCTATCGCATTTTTGTATTGTTTATTGTTGTTGTAACTTTCTGACCCACGCCTACTGGACATCGGTGAAAAAGAGCTTTTTCGCTCATCGGATTCCTCCGGTGTGAATGTCCGTACGTACGTTGAACTTCTTTCGCACCGTACGCAGCCAACGGCGCCAATCGGAGGTGCGAAATAACGATTCCGACTCTGACACTGATCTCTGTCATCTCACAAGACCAATGACGGCAGATATGCACGCGTACAACTCGGCGTGCGCGTGTGCGTGCGTGTTGCGTGAAGCGGCGTGAAGCGGCACAAGAGGCCACGTGCAAACGCGAAGAGGCCCGACCCAAAGCGCACGCACCAGCGATGTCCACGAACGCTCGCTCCCAGAACTCGTCCACGGAGTAGCACTCAGCCGACTTCACGTTCACCGACAGCACGATGTCGTCCTCCACGTACTTGAGGATGAGGTTGCTCACCAGGATGTTCACGTTGTTCACCACGCGGCGGATGAGGCTCTGGACGTACCCTGTTATGCACGCGCAGGTTTTAAAGAGTTGGGAACAGATCAGCAACAGTAATCGTGAGCGGTCGGGTGTCACCGTTTCAACGGCATCGGTAAATTCATATACTTCATGAACGTTACAGGCAACATGTTATTGGGGTTTTGGTATTGCTATTTTTAAAGCTAAATTTGGAGGCCGTTCAATAAACTGTAGAGAAAGAAAATTGTTCTAATTGCACAATTAGAATTTATCGTCACACACCCACATCTCCACCCACACTCTAAAACTCAACCGGCGCAAATCTCATTTTGGATCTCAATTAATCCTGCGGCTTTCGTGGAATGCAGAATCCCATGGCGCACACCACTTTGGGACCACAGGTTCTATTCTAAAACGGACAGAACAGTCGATATTCTGAATGAAACTTTAAAAATAGTCACCACAACTCGGCAGTGCAGCATATGCAATGCAGTGGGATCTGATATGCATCAACGCATGGATCAGTTTAACAAAACGTAATCTTACGCCTGAGATACACGCATTGAATAGTGTGCGTGCATGTGTGAATCTATGTGTATTTATTTAAAAATTTTAAACGTGGTTGTAGAATTAGTTAATGAGACCCAGGTAGCCACCAAATGTACGAGCAACACACTACAATATGTTAAAAACAAATTCCTTTATCAAATTATGAATGGCAAAGATAGTAAATCATTACACCCCTGGAAATCAGATCACGAGCCCTCCACAGCCACAAGAGGCAATGCATTGCACCACATTGTTAAAACAAATCGACTCTTTATGAAAACAATCTTAACATGAATCTGACTCATGACGATTCATAGAGCTGTGGGGGGGGGGAGGGGGGGGAGAGCAATTGTTACAGGTCTACAATACAAAACATTTGCATCATGTGGACCGCATTCTGTCTCGGGAGATCTGCATCGTTATGAGACGCTCTAGAAAGTTAGATGCACCCTAAACGAGTGCTCTGTGTCAATACAGTTATACAAAAAATGGTAACAATCAGAACACCTCACTGGATTATAAGACGCATCCCACAACTTTTATTTAAAAATACAAGGGGGGGGGAGGGGGTAAAGCACATCTTATAATCCTGTGAATACGATAATAAACAAAGCTACATTCACTGCAGCAGTGTAGGCTTAGTAAGACTTATACCGAGGCTCGCTGCTGACAGCACAGCACAGTAGCTCCCAACGTACACTCCACAAGCTACCGATCTCAACGCGGTGACGGGCACATACAACAAATGGATTGTGAAATAAATAAAGATCAAGATGCGCAGACAACAATGACGCATTCCTTTGGGAAGGTGTGCCCGAGAAACTCCAGGTGAAGTGTGTGTGAGGTTTAAGGAAGCATCGCTGCTAGCTTACAGGGTTGCCACCTGCCCTGGTTTTCTTTCTTTTTTTAAAAGTCTTCACTTTGAGGTGGGGGGGGGGGGAGGCGGGGAGAGCGGTCCTGGAAAAAATTCGTCGTTGCGCACAATATAACGCGCAACTCGCGACAATGAATTTCTCCAACGCGGCTCTTCCGTGCATTGTCGGGATGTCCTTCTTCGTACGATACGTTCTAGTTTTCTTTTTGTACCCGGAGAGGTGAGCGAACCCGACTGGTGTAACGCACACCCATTAGCACGACGCTGGCATTAGCCCCGAGGTGAAGGTCTCTCTCTCTCACTGGCATCGCGCCATTACCGCACTCCGCATCACGGGCCGAGGTGGGGGGGGGGGGGCACCTAATACCACGGATGGCCTCTAAATAAGTGCAGGGGGCGACAACCTCTGCTCCCGCGAGCCCCCCCCCCCCCCACACACACACCACCCACCGCCTCCCCTGCGCCTCTACAGCAGCCGCCGTGCCACTTAACGGCTTTGCCGCGTATTGTTCGCCCGGCGTTCCAGCCAGCTCTTTCGGGGGGGGAGGAAGCGTCACCTTTGCTGACCGGGATTCGCGTGGACTACACGGATGCCGTGGCGGAGGACTAATCCCGCCACGCTGTTGGCGTGCGCAAAAAAAATGGGGATGAGATCAATGTCCCCCGCTGCCCCCCATACTGCCCCGCCGCCTACACTCCCTTCCTGCCTCTGCCACCCCCCCCCCCCCCAGCGGATAATCTGCGTACCACTGAAAAGGGGGGGGGGGCCTCGGGTAATGGAATGGTGCTTTAGGCGAGCGATCGTTCCACCACACTGCACCACTGTCAGTCTACAGGAGCGTGCGCACGTAAACCTGGGCAAGAGCAATAATAAAGCTGCTGGTAATCTGAGGCTTTGGCTCAACCTTTACGGTGGATTTGTGTGAATAAACTGACGTGCGCACACAAACTGCCATCCCGGTTCAGGGCTGCTGAATATTTGACAATGGCGATATTTTTAGACAGCTGAAGCCGACTGCATTGTGCGAGCTGGACTGCTCACTGTCCCCGGCCAACGCGCGGTAGCTGAACCGTGCGTGCTCGGCGTTAGGAAAGCGCACGGAAGACGGCACGTAAGACGGCAAAAAGCCTCGCTCACGGGAAAAGAAGAAAAAAAATCGCGCACCAATGACCCACTTTAAACCGGCCGGTGGCCGTAAAAAAGAATGCCAGCCTGCTTACCCGAGCGTGCCATCGTTGTTTGAATTTTTGTTTTAAAAAAATGCGTTGTTGCATTGTGGGGAACCACTCCCCCACCCAAAAACTCTGGAAATACCCTTTAATACTCGAACGTGACAAACAAAAGTGTTGACAATGACCTTCATCGCTAACCGAGCCCTAGCGGTGGGGGGGGGGGAAGCATTTGGGGCGAATAACGCAATTCTATCAGACGAAAGATGTCACAACAACAGCCTAGTCCATGACGCAACGAGCAGATGGCTGCCCGGGGGCCGCCACCACCTCCCGCTGCCGCTGCCGCCGCCGCTGTGACCACAGCCACAGCAATGTTTAACCTGGCCCCTGGGTGGTCCGCTCCACCGGGCCCCTCACCACGGTCCCATAGAGGGGATTAAAATGTAGAAAGAAAGAAAAAAAAAACTGTCAGAAATAATACTCCTCTGGGTTTAAGAAGTGCACGCTCACCCCGGCTACACATAGCTCATCGCAAGCCTCCATTCATATGGGAGCAGTCGATGACGTCTGCAGAATATGCGGTCTCTCGAGTTAAGACAAACATTAACTTTTTTTTTATTCTTCTGTCTTATAAAAGTCTCCCCCGCTTACAGACGCGCAACGCCACGGGGAGATGAAAGTGTTATTATCTAATTTAGCGCCGTGCGTCGTGCATGACAGCATGGGTTCGGTGGTGCAAGGTGTTAGGTTAGCTTGCAACTTTTAATGCTCCAAAAACGTGTTTATTGTCACTTGCCGCACTGCAGATCCCCTACAATTGGTCGCTCTATTTCTAAATGAATACAAATAATGATATCTTCAAGTTGCTGGAAGAAAGAACGCAGGCCTGAACTCATGACAGAGCTCATGATCCATCATCATCAAGAGCCATGATTTATCCACTGCCAGACGAGGGCCTCCACACATGTGGCAATAACTCATGCAACGTCAATCCACCCTGCTCCTATATGAGCCAATCTCACCGTGCAGACGGAGCGAAATGTGATAAGCAAGTCTGAAGGCGGTGCAATCATTCCTATTGAGACAAAGCCGCATGTTGCTCTCATTATCAAGTGTCAATTTTTTTTATTTTCCATCCTCCTCTTGTTCATTTTGATAGTGGGCCTCCTTCTTTGATCACCGGAGATGCCTCTTACGGCGCTGCCTCCTATTGCGCCAGTTTCGTTATAGCGCTCTTTGTCCTGGAAAAAAACCAGAGGTCGCAAACAGGTTTTGATTCCTTACCCGTACCCGGCTGCACCAGGGTCGCAAATGGGTACCCGTACCCGTACCCAGCTGGGTACGGGTACCCGTTCCCTATCCGTACCCGTACCCTACCCGAAATGAGTGACAAACGGTTACTCACCAGTGACTCACGGCCTACCCGTACCCGTACCCGGCCGCACCAATGTCACAAACGGCTACCCGTACCCGTACCCGGCCGGGTACGGGTAGCCGGGTATCGGGTAGGGTACGGGTATCGGGTACCCGGTTGCGACCTCTGAGGAAAACTCCTGCGCAGATCAACCCATATATGGAAGAATGCAGGCGTTGCCCGTAGGGGCGTGTCTTTGTCCATATTAGGTCTTGTGGATCGTGAATCGAGGTGTATAGTGTATCGATTCTGCTCATAGTCAGCCCGACAGCCACATTTGAGTATCGACTCACTGGCAATCCATGGATCGGATAATCCAAATGTTTACGGCAGACGGCGGTTAATCTGAAGCAAATTCCGACCAAACGCACTTGTGAGTACACAACTTATAGCATTTTTTATGTTATTATAACAAAAAGCTATAATTTGTATTGATAAAATGCTTTATTACATTTCTCATGTGTACAGTATCATTATTAAGGCAATTACCGATACCCCAATGAAGCCCTCATATATCGCTCACAGGTAAAAAAAAAAAGCATTCCGGGAACGCATCTCCATTGGAACCATGTTATAGTGACCTCCTATAGCGCCGTTTCGTATTGCGCTCCGCTTACCAAGAACGCATCCTGAATGCTATAAGAGGTATGCCTGTATAAATATTGTACTGTGTTTTGCAGTTATGTCCCTTCAACAATTATATATCTATCGTACACGGAGCCTGTTGTATGTGATAAATGAGTAAAACCAGAAGTCATAATAAAGACTTGAAATTATGAGACATTTGCTTCTTATAGAGCTTTCCATTTATGCAGTTGTGTTGTTTCAAAATGTATCGTAACTTAATTTCAAAGATTTCAACAAATGCCCACTCAAAGCATACTAGACCTTCACCGTTTTCTCAAGTTTATTTATTCATCCACTCAAATCGCAGTGGATTAGCGTGACGTATTTCACAAATTGGCCTGTTCATGAAGTTGACGGACTCAAGAAATGCCACCTCGGAGATGTTATTACTCCTGATTTTATTTTAATGTCAGAAGGAAAACAAGCGTAATCCATTCTGCCACACCAGGGTGCCGAGATTCATGAACTTTGAGAACTTGCAAGGTGGGTCTGCTCAGCTCACACATCCACATGTTTTACACAACTTTTACCCTCGTAAAAATAATCTACGATTGAAGAGTACAACAAAACTACAATTCTGACCGCCACGATTCTCTGAACACCACTGAAAAAATACGAAATAAAAAATTCAGAAGATTACTTCGACAGCTTGCTCTATTTTTTCCCGTTTTAAAACGATCGTAAGCGCGCGCACACAAACACGATCAAACAAAGAGGGCAGTGTGACTGCCAAGGAGAACCCATATATCCAAATGGCCGAGCGAAAAAAAAAAACGCGAAACGCATCGAGTCAGCTCCTCCGGGTCCTCTCCGAAAACTCTGAAAATTTTCAGAGTAAACATGACCTGCTGCCAGGAGGAAGCCCAGCTGCTAGCGTTCGCCCGGGGCCGCGAGTCAATCACCGATCGCGCGGCCTCTTGCCCCGGGGCCACCGCTCAAACGCGCTCTTCCAAACCCCCCATCACCGGCAAAGCCTCCCAGCTCAAACCCTTCATGCCGACTTTCTCACACACAATGAATCGCGCCGAATCAACGGCTCTAGAGCCGGCGCTAAAAATAAACGAAAGTAATAATTTTTTTCCCTTTCTGTCGATGTTAATTTCGTACGTCCGTGCTGCCAACCGGCTCGTCCTTCAATGAATTGAAATCGATGTGATTTTTTTTCGCAAAGGTCAGCTTCTCTTGACGTGATTTCGGGTTGCGCCCCTGCGTCGTTCGGCATGAAGTTCAAAGTTCGACTCCACTTGCTGAGAGCTTCTAGAGCTTCCACGGGGACTTGAGACGTCCAGCACAGGAGATATTAGGTATCACGCCGAACAACACGCGCTACAACTGAGAAACACATCGGAGAGGTGTACGACTGTAATTTGAAAACGAATTTCTTTAGAACTGCTTTTTGTGTTTAGTTTGTTGTCCTTCCCCGGCATCTCCGATAAGCACGGTTGGCTATGTAGAGTGTGAAAGAAATTCAACATAAAACCGATAAAACCTATGCGGACGAAAACTTCAGTCGTTCAATGCTCTAATCCACTTGGCTATGTTGTGGAAACAAATAATTTTTAAGTAAATTCTTGAGCGCCTCTCACAGTATCTCAACGGGTGTGTGAATTTCTCAATACCCCAGTGTGATATCAGGGTTTGTATGAAACAGAGTAAAATGTAAGTTCTGCAACTTACTACTTGTGTCAACTTGCACTAAAAACTGCGAGCGGGTTGGCTGTGTGCACGTGAAGACTACGCCAACCAAGATTGCATTTCATAACTATAGTTGCTTAGCAATGCCCACAAAAATAATTCCATTTAGTATGACTTAAGCAACCGCAGCGCATTACTAATAGATTATATTTTAACTGACGACTCGGTCGGGTTGCAGTTGATTTTCTTTGACAGCTTTTAGAACGCAATGTTTCATTCAGTAAACACCTCGACACTGTAATTCAATGTGATCACACGGTATGGGTGGGACGCACACGTGGCCTTAGTGGTTAGCGCACACCACGATATTAACCAGTCCACCTGAGTTTGATTCCCATTCCCAGTCACGGCTAACCATCAGTGGCGAGTGACATGTGGGCCATTCCTCGACCCCCTCAATTTCCCACCAGCCTGCACCGCCTGACCAGCGTGGTCAAGTATGGTGCAACAAAGCCATGGGGAGGGGGCCTTTAATCAACGGTAGTTTTACAAAAGACTATAAAACAATAAGCGTTATTAATATTATTATTATACGGTATGGTTATAAATCTACATCTTAGCTCTACACGCTGAAATCAATACGCACGCAAAACCAGAATCGTGTCGGACGGAGCGATCTCAATATGATGATTTCACGACACATTTGCCAAAAAAAACTACAATTTCCGCCCAAGTTCACCGTAGAGGTCTCTTCCAAGACACCCATTGCGCAATGAACATCGGGAGGGGGGGGGGGGCACGTTTCGGTTAAAAACAAATGAACGCATAACGTGTCGCGAAACCCACCACCACCCTCCCCCCTTCCAATGCACAACGAAAGACACTACGTCACCCGCGCGCACTTCAGAAACGCGTCACAGGCTAAGCAAAGCGTGTGACAAGTTAATTTTCACTGGAAGCAGATGCTCGCACTATCCCACCATGGCAATGCAAACAACCAGCAGGCGCTAGGAAAACAAGCCACGGGGCCGGGCCAGGCCTGGCCGGTGGGACTCCGCGCGGTCCAAGTGAAGGGTCAGCTCCTCGGGGACGAATTGTGAAAGCGAACCTTCATCGCCAAGACCGCACCGTGAATCATTATGATCGTGGCTGCGTCACAATTATTGAGCTTTTCGTGCCCCTCACAATCCCAGCAATGTCTGGGCGATCGAAATAAATGCGAGCTGACATTGCTACGCGCGCCGATTGTGTTTTGCACAAAAACGTGGTGAATTAAAATTGCAATCCAGCATGCACGGTTTTAGCTGTGAACGTACACGTGGGGGGAGTGGCGGTGCAGCGGTTAGCACACCCAGATATGAACCCATCCACCCGAGTTTGATTCCTGGCCATGGCGAACACCAGTCGTGGTCTGCACCTCCGATTAGTATGGTTGGCTACGTACGGTACGAAAGAAGTTCATCATGCATACGGTCCACCACCCCGCAGCTCACCTTACACCAACCCTCACTGACCAGTGTGGTCAAGTATGGCCAAACCACCCTCATGACCGGTAACACTGTGCGGACGGCTTTTCATTAATCAGTCTATTGACAAAGGAATATACATACATGGCGCATAAGCACACACGATACACATGCCATGCGGTACCCGCACGCTTGAACACAGCGCACGATATGCTACGTGCAGGGCACAGAGAGCACGGTCAAGAGGCGATCACGGGCCAATGACATCTATACCCCCACCACCACCCCCTTGCAATCACCTCTTTCCTTCAGCTAGCAGAAGCTAGCATGACAAAAATAGGTGCTCTAACATACGTGTGCATGTACGTAATTGTACAACACGTATGCTTGCAGCGCAACAGATGTTAAATTGAAAGATTACATGTCAATGTCCAGCGCAAGTGTGCACACACTGAATATTAGATGCATTTAGGAAAACAAGGTTGTATTGTCGTACGAGAAATGCTACATCCTAAAAGGCAGTAATACTGTATCCTAAAGAAGCAAACTACACCCTCAGACAGTGTACTGTACCCTCAGACAGTGTACTGTACCCTCAGACAGTGTACTGTACCCTCAGACAGTGTACTGTACCCTCAGACGGTGTACTGTACCCTCAGATAGTGTACTGTACCCTCAGACAGTGTACTGTACCTATACTGTATGAGGGTACAAATGAAATAGGAGCAGCACTCTCCACAACTATCTAGAGAGAGCATTCTTTTCAGGAACTAAAAGTTTTTTTCACAAGTTATCTAAATACGTCAATCCGCAACGCAACATTGTGTAAATAACACCGAATGCATTTGGTGAGGGCATTCCATATCGGCTGGGAATTTGTGTCATATGCCCAGAATCCAGAACTCTGGGAGCTAAGCGTCGGTTGTGCGCTAAGCAAAATTTGCAGGACACCCAAATCCCCTCTCGGGGGGTATCTGCCAAGGCGTCCCAGGCTGTGGCGGAACAGAAAATATATTCATGAGCGCATGTGCACGGTCCATTGAGTGTCGTCTCCTCGCAAGTGTCGATTTTCTCTTGGTGCTCCGATCACCTCCCACACATCGCAGACATTGCAACGTAGGGCCCTGTTTCAAAAAGACTAATGGTACTCGGCGGGGTTTTCCTCGACAGATAAGCGGCGTTGTTATTATTATTATCGGGGTGGAGCGCTGGCACGGTGGGTTAGCGTGTCGTGTAGGGGTCGGCAGCCTGTGGCTTCCGAGCCACATGCGGCTCTTTAAGGAACAGCTTCATGATGTCCCTTATTGAGGACCACCGCCGTCCCCGTATTCGCGTGCACTTGCGGCTCTTTAAATATTTAAAACATTTTGACGGAATTTGAAAAAAATGGCTCTTCTTGTTATTTTGGTTGCCGACCCCCTGGCATAGCACCATGAACCGGGCCACCCGAGTTCGCTGGCACGACCACTGTCACCGCCATCACCGCCATCATCATAACCAGGTGGCTACCGCTCTGCTGGAAGACACCAAGCCGGCGAGGCGATCCCACTGAGCGTGGTGGAGATGTGCGAGGGGCGCACTGACCTGGCGGAAGATCGGCATCTGCAGCTGTCACCTGTTGCTGCTGCTGCTGCCTCCTGGCTCGGCTGGCAGAGCGCGATCCCTCGGTGCTCAGCGTGGCTCGGCTCGAGTGCGAGCTGCTGCTCTCCTCTGCGTCCTGCGCACGCCACGGCACAGTTGTGACACCATCAGGCTACAGTCGTGGCATAACCGCGGCACAATCGCAGGACGGTCGCGGGACAGTAACGGTGCTGACAAGGCAGTTACGGCGCTCTGACAACACACACTCTTAGATGCTGCGTCCTCTAAACCCATCACTCGCTCTCAATCAGATTCCATCTCCTTGTCATAACAGGTGATTGTGATGATTTCCCGATGGCCAATGATGGTGACCCATGAGCGATTCCGTTCTACGTGATTTAGCAATTCAATTACTTTGTCCGAGAGTTGTGAAGTGCAGATACACCGCCTTCACATTTGTATCTGGGGCAGTGGGAAGTTACACATTCCGTGCTTTGGTGTCCGCAGCCACAGTCGCACACAGGAGGGTCTTTTATTTTCTTCCATGGTGTGGATCGGGTTAAGCGCTGCCCATTGTTTCCATGGAAGATGGCAGCCAGACAGCGCAGTGGCAAGCTAGCTCGTGATATGCACCGATTGAAAAAGCTCTTCGTTAGATGTATGTATGTTGAACGTCTTTCGCACCGTACGTAGCCAGCCGTGTTAATCGGAGGTGCAGGGGAAGGACAACAAACTAAACACACAACGCAGTTAAAAAGAAATTAGTATTTCATCTAGATGATTAAAAAGTACATAGCTCCAGTGGCTTCCTAATATCGGAAGGAAGCGCGTTCCAGACGGCCGCAGAAGTGGATCTGAAAGTGCGCGTTGCAGTGACTGTGTTTGTTCGATGGATAGCCAAAAAAGCCGCTGCTGCAAGGATGACCAGGGTTTCAACACATTAGTATATTTTTTCATTATTACATTATATTTTCCACCATTACCATGCTCATTTTGATCACACCACCACTCGCTCTCAATCGGATTCCATCTCCCTCAACACCATCACTTGTTCTCAATCAGAATAAAAACCCAACATGAAATTAATCAATTATAATGCAAATGATTTGACGCGTGCAACGTTGGCATGAGAATAAATTTTAATCGATGAATGGTGCAACGATTCGTATATTTATCAATTAATATCAATTCTACTAACTTAGACTACACGGATCAAATCGCGTTTATGACAATCGATGTATTTGATCGATATTCTATATGTTGTAAGGAATCTCTCCGGTTACTTGAAGCCACTACATTCACAACGATGCCAAATCAAAAATCGATTCTTGAATTGAATCGCTAACCTTCACCGTGACAAATGAATACATCCCAAAAAGTGCGGTGTACATTCTCACACCCGTAATAAATGGCAACCAGCCAAACACCGGGACTGAGCCAAGCGTATGTCATACATCACAAGCTCTCTTAACAATCCCACTGTTAACGGGTGTTTGAATGCATGTTATTATTGGAATGCGTTTAACCGCGGAGATGGAGACATGGAATCAAATCGTGTGCAGGTGCTCGGCAGATCGCTACATCCCGGGACCCTGAGATACGGCGACGGCTTGAGGAGGCCCTTCATCCAGCAGTGGACCAAGCACGGCTATTGACGATCGCGATCACTTCGAATTCCATGAGTGCAGCAAGCGACTAACGCAGCACCTGGACAGAGTGCAATGCGGCAGGCGTTCGTCTCGAATCGTTCATTTTCGAGATTTAAATCGGATCGACGGCAAATTCGGCACGCGCGCCAGCACCAAAACTGACACCTGCGCAATTACATTTAGATATTTTGCTATAATTAGGTTAAGGTTCCATTCCGTAACGCTGCGTTGCAGAAATGAATGATTTAACATACCATAGTGGGGGGGGGGGGGGGGGGGGGAACGGCCAGGGAAGGGCTTTGACACAGCAGGGTAGGCGAGCAAAAAAAGTTTACTGCGCTAATTATAACGGCAACTCACCGATGGCATTGCTCAGGCTTCCTCCTGTTAACGTGCACATTGTGAATATTAACTAAACTACAAAACCAAACTAAACTATTTATATCGGAACAGGAAAGGGTCAATATGATGCCAGTAACGTACATTCCATGATCCAAGTTTTCCTCTTGACGTAATACCATGCATGTACCTCTCCATGCTTTGCTGCACACGTTCAGCCCAGTGTCCATTTGGGGGCAATATGCTGGTGAATTCGAGTCTTAACTTCTACAATGAGGACATTATTAAGTCTTAAATAACATCTTATGAAATACTTTTCTTTCCAGACTTTTGTCAATCAACTTCTGCCTCCCCGTACCATGCCAGTGACAGGGTTTGTTTGGCCATACTTCACCACACTGCTGTATGTTTAACTTCTTTTGCACCATACGTAGCCAGCCAGGGCTAATTGTAGGTATGGATGTTGAACTTATTTTGCACCGTACGTAGAAAACCGTGCTAATCCGAGGTGCGGACTGTCATAATCGAAGGTGTACAACAGTGAATGCTGTAGCCCTACCCTAATAATACTAAGCTACTCGAAATTCGTTTCACAAAATATGCGTGGAACCGCACGACATCCCACGCTCACGCTAGCCGTGAACTGACGAGTGACCGGGCAAGCTTTGCACCGCATAACGTAATGCGGACAAGCGCAGCGCCCAACGATAACAGCGGGGCTTACATGCCGGGAAGAACTTACTTGACTGGACCCAGCAGATGACATCTGAGACAACACATGTCGGATGACACGCATGAAAAACATTCGGAAGCGTGTTCGAAAATAAATAAATTAAGAGAAACAGTCAGACGTGTAGCCGGGCCGCAGAGCTTGCGAGCCTTGTTGACAGAGGGCAATTGGCTAATTCTGACGTGGTGAAACGGTACACGGAGGGCACTCGTTAAGTCGCAGGAAGAGGCCTCTGACGAGGGTTGAAGGTTATGAGACCAGGAGGAGGGTTTGTGCTCCGTTTTAGACTTATTCACAATTCTGGAAAAATTTGCCCGATGAAGCTGGTTGTTGTAATCACCAGCGGAATGCCGCCGTTACTCGAATGGGACATGTTGTGGGTTTACTCTCAAGAGCACACAACCGGTGTGCCGAAGCAGGAACTAACTGGCGCGTTTTGTTTATGTGACCAACCTTACTAATAGGCTGTGTCAGGTGGTGGTGGGTTCACGACGCGTTGATATTTACGCGATTTAACCCAAAAAAAAAACCACGTAATTATATTCTGCTCTAATGTCGCCCGCTGCTCAACGGCAGGTCATTGGGTCAAACTCCCTCCACATTCAGAATAGGTTTTCCCCTTTTTTCTGGTAACAGACAGGTTTTGAGATGCTAGAACACCAAATTGAAACCTTTTACAAGGAATCATGTGTGCATTAACCACAATACTTGTGGTCAGAATGCAAACAAAAAACATACTCTGATAATATTTGCATTGTCCTTGAAACTGATTGGTCCACACCAGAGACAGCTTTCTTTTGAGCCTCGTCTCAAAACGGTGTTAGACCAGAGGACGCCAAAAGACGTACAGCACAAAGACACCGCACTATCAGAGTAATGAGAGCTCGGGGTAAGCATCTACGTCATGGGACCTCCTTTGCCGGTACCAAAATATGATAATAGGGTTTTCCCCTTTTTTCTGGCAACAAAACAGGTGCTAAGTTGTTAGAACACCAAACTGAAACCTTTTACGAGAAATCATGTAGTCAGAATGCAAACAAAAAACATACTCTGATAAAAGAAGAAAACCTATTCTCATATTTTGGTACTGGCAAAGGAGGTCCCATGATGTAGCCGCTCACCACGAGCTCTCATTACTCTGATAATGCGTTGTCTTTGTACTGTGTACGCCTTTTGGTGTCCTCTGATCCAACACCGTTTTGAGACATGATTCCTTGTAAAAGGTTTCCGTTTGGTGTTCTAACATCTTAACACCTGTTTTGCTGCCAAAAAAAAGGGGAAAACCTATTCTCATATTTTGCTACTGGCCAAGGAGGTCCCATGACGTCCCTGCAAATTGTCCGATCTTTGACATTCTTCTTCCTTTCACTGTATAGACTCAGTGCCTTCTTCAATTCGGCAAGCAGCATCTCTGCTGTTCTGTCGCTTGGCCTCTTTTTCTCAACATCGTTCCTTCCAGAACTTCCTCCATCGAGCTTTCTCATCTGAGAATGGGCACCCCAATCCACATGGTTCGTCGCCTCTTCTAGATCAGCATTGCCATCACGATCGTCACCAGCACACACAGCATCACCACACACAGCATCACCGCACACAGCGTCACCGCACACAGCGTCACACACACAGCGTCACCACACACAGCGTCACCACACACAGCGTCACACACACAGCGTCACCACACACAGCGTCACACACACAGCGTCACACACACAGCGTCACCACCACACAGCGTCACCACACACAGCATCACCACACACACAGCGTCACCACACATAGCGTCACACACACAGCGTCACGCACACAGCGTCACCACCACACAGCGTCACCACACAGCGTCACACACACAGCGTCACCACACACAGCATCACCGCACACAGCGTCACCACCACACAGCGTCACACACACAGCGTCACCACACACAGCATCACCGCACACAGCGTCACCACCACACAGCGTCACACACACAGCGTCACCACACACAGCGTCACACACACAGCATCATCGCACACACAGCGTCACCACACACAGCATCACCGCACACAACGTCACCACCACACAGTGTCACCACACACCCCGATTCTGAGATAATGATGACGCTATGTAAAACTAAACATTATTATCAGAATAAACATCAGTATGGATTACAGAATAAATAATTTAGCAATTGGCATGATTAGGGTTGTGTTTAGGAGTGGGATGATTCACCAGCTATGACAGCCCACGCACCCCGTTGGAAAGTCAACTGATTGTTGAAATTCAGGGGCCACGACTCGATTTAAGAATCGATTACTTGTGCGTAATTTTACCCGTTTAAGACGTATTGTTTCTCGTGCTGTTTTCGTTTTTGCTTTTATTTCTGCACAGTTTCGTTAACCCAAATATAGACATGCGCACATCAATTATTTACCATTTGCACAA